AAGAGCCAGCCTAACCTTGTCAAACCCTGTGTAAAAAAAAGAGAAAGAGAGAGAGAGAGAGAGAGAGAGGGCTTGGACCGGATGTCCAGTGGTGGGTAGGGGAGGTAGGTGGTATGTGGTTGAGGGGTGACTGTTACTCCGCTCTCGTGTATGTGTGTGTGTTTGTGCCCCCACTTCTAAGTATTCATACTGCTAATAAATACCAGTAATAATACCAGTAATTCTAAAACTTGCCAATAGTAATTCTAACACTCATCAATTCTACTTATAAAATACGGAAAGCAATACTAGGTTGTAAAATTTAGCTTGTCTCAACTTCTACAAGTGTCTGACGTTACCCCTCGCTCTCACTAGACCACTTAACTCCTCACACTCTCGTCAACCCTGTCTCCACCTTATCTATGCTATTTCTACTCTAATTCCGATAATACCTTGCAGGAGTGAGTGACCAGTATCTAACAGTGATGCAGAGAGCGGAATCTGACAACATGCAACCACAATAGGTGAGCAATACTTGCGCTGGCAGCAGCACAATGACAAGTTTCCAGATGCTGATGACGTAGTCATTGTACATAGGCCTTGTATCACTATTTTGAAAATCCTTCACCCGTGATATTTAGAACCATATATGCTCATACATCCCGCGTTCCTCAAGTAATTTCACTTTTCCCCTATGATAGAATACACTTCACATTCGGTGGCTACACTTTATATTTATAATGCCACACAACCTGTTGTGACATCACTGCTTCAGCAGGCCTACTCCTGCCACCTTCCCTTGTTATATATTTTATTTTTCCTTTCCCCTTTTTCTTATTAACTTTTTCACTCTCACTGTATGGTGCCTCACATTTCACTTGTTAGCCAATATCTCGTAATTCTTGAACACCCGCTTCCACACTCACTTTGATCTTTGTATATTTGAATCTGTGTGGCAACAGGTGCCTACTAGGCCCCTAACGGTTTGGCACTTTGAAATGTTAATGATTTTAGGCTTCCTCTCGACTTTTTTTTAACTAATAACTTTGGTTATCACTCGTAGGATTGCTCACTGACGTTGTCACTACCACTGATTACTGCTAGCATTTACTGCACGCCTTAAAGCACTAAGGTTCTCTCAGAGCCTTGTGCACCCACGTCTGCGTGACTGTGTGTGTGTGTGTGTGTGTGTGCGTGCGTGTGTGTGTGTGTGTGTGTGTGTGTGTGTGTGTGTGTGTGTGTGTGTGTGTGTGTCGTGCCGAATAGGTAAAACTTGCGATTTTGGCATAAATAGCAATTCTCTTCTTGCTGAATAAGGCAAGCGAAAATTTGTGTATGCAAAAATTCGCACAAATCATTCTGAACCTAACGAAAAAATATATTTCATTGTTTATTTACTATTAAATTATTGAATACTTATCTAAAATATATTTAGATAAGTATTCAATAGGCTAAATCATATTATGCTTGTTATAATAACGTTAAGTACAACATTATTAATTTTTACATTAACATCAATGAAAAATTATATCCTTAAACGTATAAGAGAAATTTTTTTTAACTTATTTTAAATAATAATAATAATAATAATAATAATAATAATAATAATAATATCTTTAATTCAAAAAGTATATGTAAAAGGTATACAGGTCTAGTTGACATCAGAGACATGCTACTGTATAGAAAACCCCTTGTTTTGCAAAGCATTTCGGTCAAATTAAGTCAGTTTTGTCCCAGGATGCGACCCATACCCAGGTATTCATTTCATATTGATGGGTGAACAGGGACAGCAGGTGTCTTACGGAAACATGGCCTAATGTTTTCCAGGCGTACCGGATATTCGAACTCCAGACCTCACGACGTGAAAGTCTGCACCACCACCATCTACGCCATTCCAACATGCCTAAATTGCAAGGGTACTCATCATACCCTTGCACCGAAATGACCACTAAGAAAAGTGCTGTCTAAGAAAATCAAAGAAGAAACTAAGAGAAACAGCCCTCACCGACATATGCCGCAATAATAAAACTCCAGTCTGACACTCACAGAATTCTTGAAGCCACAGAAGTCATCTCTACCCAGCATCCCCCTCTTTCCACTTCCGGATGCGGCTCCCTCCAAGGTACTGTACTGCATGGTGTATGTGCACCTTGCTAATGCAGCTAACTCTGGCACTCAGTCTGCTTTCGTCTTCCCTGACTCCACACCTTCAGCTGACATCCTCAAGATTCTTTCCAACACCTTCGCTGTCGACCCTCAGTCACCTGCTAGCACCATTGTAGACTCGTCTACTGAATCCATTTCAGAAGAAGATATCGACGACTTCAGTATACATTCATGGGAAAACCTGGAATTCCTCAAGTCTCTACGTTTCACCTTGGAAACAAGACTAAACTTTACCACCTCTGTAGGAGCAGCTTCAAGAAATTTGAAAATGGCTCCTCTACAAACGTGCCACCTAAATCACATCATGTAGCACCAATACGCTGCCCTCTGATGTTCCTACCTGCCTGTCCTGTCCTGCGACCTAACCTGCTGTCACCTCAAGACTGAAGACCTCTAGCCTCCACAAGACAGTTGCAACTGAGCCTGCTACTCCTACTTCTCCATTCTGTCCCACGAGCGACTAGCTGCTGGCACTTTCTCTACGACTGTGGGCACTCCTCTCCAACGTTATTCTCCGCCTGTTCAGTCTTCCCAGCTCACCCCCACACGGGGTCTTACCTAAACTCTCTTGATCTTGATTCATTGACAGGTGCTGATTACAATTTAATCTGAGTTCATAGACTATTATGTCCTCGAGGGAGGCAGAAACATATCTACTGTTAAAGCTCCTGATTTTGACTATGAATTAAATAAATTAATTCTACACTCCTTGAAACCTCTTTTAAACCTCTTCTCTAGGAAAAATAGTTGAAAAGTTAAATTTAAAAAATGGCAAACAGTAGCCATATTTGATTTATGTAGAAGACCAGTTTATTCGTTGTTACACTTCATGGGAGAACAAATTCTTCAAAAAACATAGGAACATAACAAAGGAGGAACACTGCAGCAGGCCTGTTGGCCCATACTAGGCAGGTCCTTTACAATTCATCCCACTAACAAAACATTTGACCAACCCAATTTTCAATGCTACCCAAAAAATAAGCTCTGATGTGCAAGTCCCACTCAAATCCAACCCCTCCCACTCATGTACTTATCCAACCTAAATTTGAAACTACCCAAAGTCCTAGCCTCAATAACCCAACTAGGTAGACTGTTCCACTCATCAACTACCCTATTTCCAAACCAATACTTTCCTGTGTCCTTTCTAAATCTAAACTTATCTAATTTAAATCCATTACTGTGGGTTCTCTCTTGGAGAGATATCCTCAAGACCTTATTAATATCCCCTTTATTAATACCTATCTTCCACTTATACACTTCGATCAGGTCTCCCCTCATTCTTCGTCTAACAAGTGAATGTAACTTAAGAGTCTTCAATCTTTCTTCATAAGGAAGATTTCTAATGCTATGTATTAATTTAGTCACCCTACGCTGAATGTTTTTTTAACGAATTTATGTCCATTCTGTAATATGGAGACCAGAACTGAGCTGCATAATCTAGGTGAGGCCTTACTAATGATGTATAAAGCTGCAGTATGACCTCTGGACTCCTGTTGCTTACACTTTTTGATATAAATCCCAGTATAATCTATTTGCCTTGTTATGTACGCTTAGGCATTGCTGTCTTGGTTTAAGGTTGCTGCTCACCATAACCCCCAAGTCCTTTTCGCAATCTGTATGGCTAAGTTCTACATCATTTAACTTATAAGTGCTAGGGTTATGGACACTCCCGAGCTTCAGAACCTTGCATTTATCTACATTGAACTGCATCTGCCACTTTTCTGACCAAGAATATAGTTTGTTTAAATCCTCCTGAAGTTCCATAACATCTACGTTTGAATCAATTATCCTACCTATCTTTGTGTCTTCGGCGAATTTGCTCATATCACTAGTAATTCCCTCATCAAGATCATTGATATATATTATAAACAGCAACGGGCCCAAGACTGATCCCTGTGGAACGCCACTTGTTACAGATCCCCACTCGGATTTAACCCCATTTATGGACACTGCTTCCTGTCTGTGAGCCATGATTCGATCCATGAGAGCACTTTTCCCCCAATGCCATGAGCTGCCACTTTCTTTAATAGTCTTTGGTGCGGAACTCTATCAAAAGCCTTACTAAAATCCAAGTAAATAATATCAAACTCTTTATCGTGGTCAACAGACTCAAAAGCTTTACTGAAGAAAGTTAATAAATTAGTTAGACAAGACCGGCCTCTTGTGAATCCATGCTGAGTATCATTAATCAAGCTATACTTATCGAGATGGCTTCTTATAATCTGAGCTATAATTGACTAGTAATTTGCCTACAATTGAGGTCAGGCTTATTGGGCGGTAATTTGACGGTAACGACTTTTCCCCTGTTTTAAAAATAGGAATTACATTAGCCATCTTCCACATATCAGACACTACACCTGTTTGAAGAGATAAATTAAAAATATTAGTTAATGGTTCACAGAGTTCCATTTTGCATTCCTTACGAACCCTTGAAAAAAACCTCATCAGTACCCGGCGACTTATTTTGCTTCAGTCTGTCTATCTGCTTCACAACCATTTCACTAGTGACTGTGATGTTACATAATTTATCTTCTTCTAGCCCACTATAAAAATTAATTACTGGGATATTGTCAGTGTCTTCCTGTGTAAAAACAGAGAGAAAATAATTATTTAAAATCGAGCACATTTCATTCTCTTTGTCAGTAAGATGCCCATAGTTATTTTTAAGGGGACCTATCTTATCTCTAACTTTTGCTCTATAGACCTCTATAGACTTCACAAGATAAATCATTACTACGTTCATTCATTGTTCACCACCAGCATCTTCATTCCATGGAGTTGTATAAGGATTTTTATTGATTTGGAAGTGAATAATCGTGCTGAAACAAACTGTCCTGCAGACAATGTGAGCTTACTTTCCCACGTCCTCGAGCTTGAGCAAAAGATGCTCGAACACCCACTGGCGATCACTCTGAGAGTAGCACACGAAAATGTCATACAGGTACTTGTCACTGTCCAGCTTTTTCCTGGTTGTCCTCATCCTGATGTTGTACGTGACATATCTCATATACCTGCGGGGCAAAGGGGCGTTATATGCACTAGTAATACTAATATTTGTGTAACATTAGTCATACTGACATTTACTAATTCAATAGAGAACATTATTGATAGTCACACTATAGTAGAGGCAGACACATCCACAAGCAGCAATGACATTGCATACACTAAGTCAAACTGCAAGACGGGTTGCAGACAAACTGGAAGTTACCACCGTATTTTTGCACCACTAAAATTCACAGCGGTATGCAAGGAATTCATCATTTCAGTTTAGATGCTAAGCAAGTGTGAATACTTAGTTTTAGCCACCTCTGATGCAAGCCTAGTGTCAATACTTCCAGTTTTAGTCACGTGTGATGTCAGTTTAGTGTCAGTACTTCCAGTTTTAGTCACGTATGATGTCAGTTTAGTGTCAATATTTCAGTTTAGTTACGTATGTCAGTTTAGTGTCATTACTTCCAGTTTTAGTAACGTCTTATGCAGCCTATGTCAATTCGCTTTAATAGTATGGTCGCTAGTGTCATATTGCCGTTTTAATGATCAGCACACCTGATGGGCTGCAGCATTGCTGTTAATTCCCCATTAAAAGACAGGAAGGCCACTTCCCATTAGCTACTTACAGAAGAATAAGCATCACACTACATCCCAAAAAACTAGGAAGAAAAAATTTATTAAATAAATTTGATTAATTCTACTTTTAGTAATGTATATTATTAATATTAATCTTAATAAACGGTGCTTGCAATTCGATATACGATCTGCATATATATGATGCCTAGTATTAAAGAACGCTAACTCCGTACATACTGCCCTTTCATAACCTGGGCCATTCCAAGCAAATACCTGCTGCAGAAGAGATTTAAGGTATTGACACTCACCACCTGTTCTTGTATACAGTCATTAGCATGATGACAATGAACAATGCGCTGGCGATGCAGAAGATGATAATTTTGAGGGCGTAATCAGGATGATCGGTGGGCAAGATTTGAGGCTTTTCCATGCAGGAGGCTGTGTTGATGTATTCAGTGAAAGTGAGAATATTCCCATCTTTATTACAATAATATTTGGACCATTGTACGAAGTGTGTAGTATTTAGAGTGCCGTTAAAATTTTGTATGTAACACTCACACTCGAACTCGTTGAAACGGAGGTCCACACTAAGCAGACTTTTTTTACTGAAGTCCAGCATCATTGCTTCTGTAAGAATCTTGAGGGAGTTACTAGTCAGCGAGAGAACCATTAAATTTGTAACGTTAGAGAAAGTCGGTATACTCCAGTCCTCAATATTGTTGGATCCCAAAGCCAAGTAATTAAGCTGGTTTAGATCCTCCCAAAGCTCCGGAAATATATTTCGAATTTCATTTTTTGACAGATCGAGATACTTTAACCCTTTAAGTCCTTGAAATGGAAGAAAAGTGTTCAGCTGTGCATTGTATATATTCTCTAGTCTTAATAACCCCTCTAATTTCATCACTTCCTTCTCTGGTGTCAGAACGTTTTCCTTGCCACTGTTATGGTGGCCACCAACCTTAATACTCGCCAACCACGACGCTAGAGGTCCAGTTTCATGCGGGTTACCAAACACATTTGTTCGATGCTTCAGATGAGAATTTTCTTGGGTCCATTTGATAATAGGAGAGGCTAAGTTACGCTGTCGCCCACGTAGTATGAAGCTTTCGTGGTAGGGCACAGAGATTGATCTCAAGGGGACACGGATAAGTCTGGTGATGTCTCTGCTTGTTTGAAAGATGATGCTGTTGTCTGAGAGGTCAAGGTGTTTAAGGTTAGTGAGACCTGCAAATGTATTGTTGTACAGGATCTGTATAGTGTTTCCCCTCAAGTAGAGCCTCTCCAACGTTGACAAATTTCTGCAAAGTAAAAAAACTTTTATGAGTTTTAAATAAATTAACAACAGACCAAAAATATTTATAATGAATAATCTATAATAGCAAATTTTCTAAAAATAACTCGGAATATATTTGTGCTCCATATTATAAACAGAGACAAACCTGAACTTCAGGCCATAACCCCCTTTTCAAGAAGGGAAAGTCTCTTGTAGCACTGATTGGGCTCTTGATCCGAGGAACTGGACGTTTTCTCTCCTTCTTAGATGGATTCTATATAACTCTTACCCCTCCCGTTCATTTTGGTCTCATATCAAGGGCATACCTGCATTACTCTTTATTATTATTTTATTTATTATTATTATTATTATTATTATTATTATTATTATTCCTGCATATAGATGCTAACGCTACTCTGTTGACTATTCTTATTTGACACCTGAAGGTAAAGCAACGATGTGGTGACATATATAATTGTGTTGATAGTGCCTCCGAAACACTGTTTCAGAGGTGCCGTGGCATTCTGATATGTCACTGATAGTGACAAGATGTGCCGCAGCACACTGGTGTGCCACTAATAGTACCCAGAGAGTGCCGCGGCACACTGGTGTGCCACTGATAGTACCCAGGGAGTACCGCGGCACCCTGGTATGCTACTAATGGTGCCCAGGGAGTACCGCGGCACCCTGGTATGCTACTAATAGTGCCAGATAGTACTGCGGCACCCTGGTATGCTACTAATAGTGCCCAGGGAGTACTGTGGCATCCTGGTACGCTACTAATAGTGCCCAGGGAATACTGTGGCACCCTGGAATGCTACTAAGTGCCCAGGGAGTACCGCGGCACCCTGGTATGTTACTAATAGTGCCCAGGGAGTACCACAGCACCCTGGTATGCTACTAATAGTGCCCAGATAGTACTGCGGCACCCTGGTATGCTACTAATAGTGCCCAGGGAGTACTGTGGCATCCTGGTATGCTACTAATAGTGCCCAGGGAGTACTGTGGCATCTTGGTATGCTACTAATAGTGCCCAGGGAGTACTGTGGCATCCTGGTATGCTACTGATAGTGTCCAGGGAATACTGTGGCACCCTGGAATGCTACTAATAGTGCCCAGGGAGTACCGCAGCACCCTGGTATGTTACTAATAGTGCCCAGGGAGTACCGCAGCACCCTGGTATGCTACTAATAGTGCTCAGATAGTACTGCGGCACCCTGGTATGCCACTAATAGTGCCCAGGGAGTACTGTGGCATCCTGGTATGCTACTAATAGTGCCCTGGGAGTACTGTGGCATCTTGGTATGCTACTAATAGTGCCCAGGGAGTACTGTGGCACCCTGGTATGCTATTAATAGTGCCCAGGGAGTACCGCGGCATCCTGTTATGCTACTAATAGTGCCCAGAGAGTACCGCAGCACCCTGGTATGCTACTAATAGTGCCCAGGGAGTACTGTGACATCTTGGTATGCTACTAATAGTGCCCAGGGAGTACCGCGGCACCTTGGTATGCTACTAATAGTGCCCAGGGAGTACTGTGGCTTCCTGGTTTGCTACTAATAGTGCCCAGGGAGTACCGCGGCACTTTGGTATGCTACTAATAGTGCCCAGGGAGTACTGTGGCACCCTGGTGTGCCACTGGTAGTGCCCAGAGAGTACCGCACCACCCTGGTGTGCCACTGGTAGTGCCCAGGGAGTACCGCGGCACCCTGCTGTGCCACTGGTAGTGCCCAGGGAGCACCACTGCACCCTGCTGTGCCACTGGTAGTGCCCAGGGAGTACCACGGCACCCTGCTGTGCCACTGGTAGTGCCCAGGGAGTACCGCGGCACCCTGCTGTGCCACTGGTAGTGCCCAGGGAGCACCGCTGCACCCTGGTGTGCCACTGGTAGTGCCCAGAGAGTACCGCACCACCCTGGTGTGCCACTGGTAGTGCCCAGGGAGTACCGCGGCACCCTGCTGTGCCACTGGTAGTGCCCAGGGAGCACCGCTGCACCCTGCTGTGCCACTGGTAGTGCCCAGGGAGTACCACGGCACCCTGCTGTGCCACTGGTAGTGCCCAGGGAGTACCGCGGCACCCTGCTGTGCCACTGGTAGTGCCCAGGGAGCACCGATGCACCCTGGTGTGCCACTGGTAGTGCCCAGGGAGTACTGCGGCACCTTGGTGTGCCAGTGGCAGTGCCCAGGGAGTACCGCGGCACCCTGCTGTGCCACTGGTAGTGCTCAGGGAGTACCGATGCACCCTGCTGTGCCACTGGTAGTGCTCAGGGGGTACCGCTGCACCCTGGTGTGCCACTGGTAATGCTCAGGGAGTACCGCAGCACCCTGGTTTGCCACTGGCAGTGCCCAGGGAGTACCGCGGCACCTTGCTGTGCCACTGGTAGTGCCCATGGAGTACTGCTGCACCCTGGTGTGCCACTGGTACTGCCCAGGGAGTACCGCGGCACCCTGATGTGCCACTGGTAGTGCCCAGGGAGTACCGCGGCACCCTGGTGTGCCACTGGTAGTGCCCAGGGAGTTCTGTGGCACCCTGGTGTGCCACTGGTAGTGCCCAGGGGTGCCGCGGCACCCTGGTGTGCCACTGGTAGTGCCCAGGGGTGCCGCATGATTACTAGTAATTTTGTCTAACTTCATAGTCTTAAAATACCACATTTTTTTTTTTGCATTTATTTGTTGCATAATTAACTACTACACGAGAGTTATAATTTTTTTCGAACAGAAAAAAAATATAACTATGACTTTTCATGGAATGAACTGGATAAATTTAAATAATAACTTTCATGTGGTAATTTCTGAATGCCTCATCCGATTGGCTTCAAACGTGTTAGCGGCTTCAAATTTAATACGCTGTTACATTTTAGGATTTGTCTCCGTTTAATTTAACAAAAGACTGCCTCGTCCGTTAAGCTTAAAAAAAATGTCTTTGTGGAAGGTTTGAATTAATTTGAGCTATTTTTGTCCCCGTTTTTAATTTTTATTGAAGAAATAGATATTTTGTTTGCTGGGTAGGCCTATAACTGCCTCGTTCAATTAGTTTCCAATCGTTAACACTAATATTTAATTTCATGATAAAATTATGCTACTCTGAACACTTTTCCTTTTGCGTCCACTGAAGTAAAGATGGCCAGGATGATGCTGTACAAGTAAAGATGGCCAGGATGATGCTGTACAAGGAAGTAAAGATGGCCAGGATGATGCTGTACAAGGAAGTAAAGATGGCCAGGATGATGCTGTACAAGGAAGTAAAGATGGCCAGGGTGATGCTGTACAAGGAAGTAAAGATGGCCAGGATGATGCTGTACAAGGGAGTAAAGATGGCCAGGATGATGCTGTACAAGGAAGTAAAGATGGCCAGGATGATGCTGTACAAGGGAGTAAAGATGGCCAGGATGATGCTGTACAAGGGAGTAAAGATGGCCAGGATGCTGTACAAGGGAGTAAAGATGGCCAGGATGATGCTGTACAAGTAAAGATGGCCAGGATGATGCTGTACAAGGAAGTAAAGATGGCCAGGAATATGCTGTGCAAGGGAGTAAAGATGGCCAGGATGATGCTGTACAAGGGAGTAAAGATGGCCAGGATGATGCTGTACAAGGAAGTAAAGATGGCCAGGATGATGCTGTACAAGGAAGTAAAGATGGCCAGGATGATGCTGTACAAGGAAGTAAAGATGGCCAGGATTTATGCTGTACAAGGAAGTAAAGATGGCCAGGATGATGCTGTACGAGGAAGTAAAGATGGTCAGGATGATGCTGTACAAGGGAGTAAAGATGGCCAGGATGATGCTGTACAAGGGAGTAAAGATGGCCAGGATGATGCTGTACAAGGGAGTAAAGATGGCCAGGATGATGCTGTACAAGGGAGTAAAGATGGCCAGGATGATGCTGTACAAGGAAGTAAAGATGGCCAGGATGATGCTGTACAAGGAAGTAAAGATGGCCAGGAATATGCTGTACAAGGGAGTAAAGATGGCCATAATGATGCTGTACAAGGGAGTAAAGATGGCCAGGATGATGCTGTACAAGGAAGTAAAGATGGCCAGGATGATGCTGTACAAGGAAGTAAAGATGGCCAGGATGATGCTGTACAAGGAAGTAAAGATGGCCAGGATGATGCTGTACAAGGAAGTAAAGATGGCCAGGATGATGCTGTACAAGGAAGTAAAGATGGCCAGGATGATGCTGTACAAGGAAAGTAAAGATGGTCAGGATGATGCTGTACAAGGGAGTAAAGAATGGGCCCGGATGATGCTGTACAAGGGAGTAAAGATGGCCAGGATGATGCTGTACAAGGAAGTAAAGATGGCCAGGATGATGCTGTACAAGGGAGTAAAGATGGCCAGGATGATGCTGTACAAGGGAGGGAAAGATGGCCAGGATTGATGCTGTACAAGGGAGTAAAGATGGCCAGGATGATGCTCTACAAGGGAGTAAAGATGGCAGGGTGATGCTGTACAAGGGAGTAAAGATGGCCAGGATGATTGCTGTACAAGGAAGTAAAGATGGCCAGGATGATGCTGTACAAGGGAAATAAAGATGGCCAGGATGATGCTGTACAAGGAAGTAAAGATGGCCAGGATGATGCTGTACAAGGAAGTAAAGATGGCCAGGATGATGCTGTACGAGGAAGTAAAGATGGTCAGGATGATGCTGTACAAGGGAGTAAAGATGGCCCGGATGATGCTGTACAAGGGAGTAAAGATGGCCAGGATGATGCTGTACAAGGGAGTAAAGATGGCCAGGATGATGCTGTACAAGGGAGTAAAGATGGCCAGGATGATGCTGTACAAGGAAGTAAAGATGGCCAGGATGATGCTGTACAAGGAAGTAAAGATGGCCAGGAATATGCTGTACAATGGAGGAGTAAAGATGGCCATAATGATGCTGTACAAGGGAGTAAAGATGGCCAGGATGATGCTGTACAAGGAAGTAAAGATGGCCAGGATGATGCTGTACAAGGAAGTAAAGATGGCCGGATGATGCTGTACAAGGAAGTAAAGTATGGCCAGGATGATGCTGTACAAGGAAGTAAAGATGGCCAGGATGATGCTGTACAAGGAAGTAAAGATGGCCAGGATGATGCTGTACAAGGAAGTAAAGATGGTCAGGATGATGCTGTACAAGGGAGTAAAGAATGCCAGGATGATGCTGTACAAGGGAGTAAAGATGGCCAGGATGATGCTGTACAAGGAAGTAAAGATGGCCAGGATGATGCTGTACAAGGGAGTAAAGATGGCCAGGATGATGCTGTACAAGGGAGTAAAGATGGCCAGGATGATGCTGTACAAGGGAGTAAAGATGGCCAGGATGATGCTCTACAAGGGAGTAAAGATGGCCAGGATGATGCTTTTACAAGGGAGTAAAGATGGCCAGGATGATGCTGTACAAGGAATAAAGATGGCCAGGATGATGCTGTACAAGGGAGTAAGATGGCCAGGATGATGCTGTTACAAGGAAGTAAAGATGGCCAGGATGATGCTGTACAAGTAAAGATGGCCAGGATGATGCTGTACAAGGGAGTAAAGATGGCCAGGATGATGCTGTACAAGGAAGTAAAGATGGCCAGGATGATGCTGTACAAGGAAGTAAAGATGGCCAGGATGATGCTGTACAAGGGAGTAAAGATGGCCAGGATGATGCTGTACAAGGGAGTAAAGATGGCCAGGATGATGCTGTACAAGGGAGTAAAGATGGCCAGGATGATGCTGTACAAGGGAGTAAAGATGGCCAGGATGATGCTGTACAAGGGAGTAAAGATGGCCAGGATGATGCTTGTACAAGGGAGTAAAGATGGCCAGGATGATGCTGTACAAGGAAGTAAAGATGGCCAGGATGATGCTGTACAAGGAAGTAAAGATGGCCAGGAATATGCTGTACAAGGGAGTAAAGATGGCCATAATGATGCTGTACAAGGGAGTAAAGATGGTCAGGATGATTGCTGTACAAGGGAGTAAGATGGCCAGGATGATGCTGTAAAAAGGAAGTAAAGATTTGGGCCAGGATGATGCTGTACAAGGAAGTAAAGATGGCCAGGATGATGCTGTACAAGGAAGTAAAGATGGCCAGGATGATGCTGTACAAGGGAGTAAAGATGGCCAGGATGATGCTGTACAAGGAGTAAAAATGGCCAGGATGATGCTGTACAAGGAAGTAAAGATGGCCAGGATGATGCTGTACAAGGAAGTAAAGATGGCCAGGATGATGCTGTACAAGGAAGTAAAGATGGCCAGGATGATGCTGTACAAGGGAAGTAAAGATGGCCAGGATGATGCTGTACAAGGGAGTAAAGATGGCCAGGATGATGCTGTACAAGGGAGTAAAGATGGCCAGGATGATGCTGTACAAGGAAGTAAAGATGGCCAGGATGATGCTGTACAAGGGAGTAAAGATGGCCAGGATGATGCTGTACAAGGGAGTAAAGATGGCCAGGATGATGCTGTACAAGGGAGTAAAGATGGCCAGGATGATGCTGTACAAGGAAGTAAAGATGGCCAGGATGATGCTGTACAAGTAAAGATGGCCAGGATGATGCTGTACAAGGAAGTAAAGATGGCCAGGATGATGCTGTACAAGGAAGTAAAGATGGCCAGGATGATGCTGTACAAGGAAGTAAAGACGGCCAGGATGATGCTGTACAAGGAGTAAAGATGGCCAGGATGATGCTGTACAAGGAAGTAAAGATGGCCAGGATGATACTGTACAAGGAAGTAAAGATGGCCAGGATGATGCTGTACAAGGGAGTAAAGATGGCCAGGATGATGCTGTACAAGGGAGTAAAGATGGCCAGGATGATGCTATACAAGGGAGTAAAGATGGCCAGGATGATGCTGTACAAGGGAGTAAAGATGGCCAGGATGATGCTGTAGAAGGAAGTAAAGATGGCCAGGATGATGCTGTAGAAGTAAGTAAAGATGGCCAGGATGATGCTGTAGAAGGAAGTAAAGATGGCCAGGATGATGCTGTACAAGGGAGTAAAGATGGCCAGGATGATGCTGTACAAGGAAGTAAAGATGGCCAGGATGATGCTGTACAAGGAAGTAAAGATGGCCAGGATGATGCTGTACAAGGGAGTAAAGATGGCCAGGATGATGCTGAACAAGGAAGTAAAGATGGCCAGGATGATGCTGTACAAGGAAGTAAAGATGGCCAGGATGATGCTGTACAAGGGAGTAAAGATGGCCAGGATGATGCTGTACAAGGGAGTAAAGATGGCCAGGATGATGCTGTACAAGGAAGTAAAGATGGCCAGGATGATGCTGTACAAGGGAGTAAAGATGGCCAGGATGATGCTTCACAGGGAGTAAAGATGGCCAGGATGATGCTGTACAAGGAAGTAAAGATGGCCAGGATGATGCTGTACAAGGAAGTAAAGATGGCCAGGATGATGCTGTACAAGGAAGTAAAGATGGCCAGGATGATGCTGTACAAGGGAGTAAAGATGGCCAGGATGTATGCTGTACAAGGGAGTAAAGATGGCCAGGATGATGCTGTACAAGGGAGTAAAGATGGCCAGGATGATGCTGTACAAGGGAGTAAAGATGGCCAGGATGATGCTGTACAAGGGAGTAAAGATGGCCAGGATGATTCTGCACAAGGGAGTAAAGATGGCCAGGATAATGCTGTACAAGGGAGTAAAGATGGCCAGGATGATGCTGTACAAGGGAGTAAAGATGGCCAGGATGATGCTGTACAAGGAAGTAAAGATGGCCAGGATGATGCTGTACAAGGGAGAAAAGATGGCCAGGATGATGCTGTACAAGGGGAAATAAAGATGGCCAGGATGATGCTGTACAAGGAAGTAAAGATGGCCAGGATGATGCTGTACAAGGGAGTAAAGATGGCCAGGATGATGCTGTACAAGGAAGTAAAGATGGCCAGGATGATGCTGTACAAGGGAAATAAAGATGGCCAGGATGAATGCTGTACAAGGGGAAGTAAAGAAGGCCAGGATGATGCTGTACAAGGAAGTAAAGATGGCCAGGATGATGCTGTACAAGGAAGTAAAGATGGCCAGGATGATGCTGTACAAGGGAGTAAAGATGGCCAGGATGATGCTGTACGAGGGAGTAAAGATGGCCAGGATGATGCTGTACAAGGGAGTAAAGATGGCCAGGATGATGCTGTACAAGGGAGTAAAGATGGCCAGGATGATGCTGTACAAGGGAGTAAAGATGGCCAGGATGATGCTGTACAAGGGAGTAAAGATGGCCCGGATGATGCTGTACAAGGGAGTAAAGATGGCCAGGATGATGCTGTACAAGGGAAGTAAAGATGGCCAGGATGATGCTGTACAAGTGAGTAAAGATGGCCAGGATGATGCTGTACAAGGGAGTAAAGATGGCCAGGATGATGCTGTACAAGGGAGTAAAGATGGCCAGGATGATGCTGTACAAGGGAGTAAAGATGGCCAGGATGATGCTGTACAAGGAAGTAAAGATGGCCAGGATGATGCTGTACAAGGGAGTAAAGATGGCCTGGATGATGCTGTACAAAAGGGAGTAAAGATGGCCAGGATGATGCTGTACAAGGAAGTAAAGATGGCCAGGATGATGCTGTACAAGGAAGTAAAGATGGCCAGGATGATGCTGTACAAGGAAGTAAAGATGGCCAGGATGGGCTGTACAAGGAAAAGTAAGATGGCCAGTGTTGCTGTACAAGGATGTAAGATGGCCAGGATGTGCTGTACAAGGAAGTAAAGATGGGCAGATTGATGCTGTAAAGGGAAGTAAAGATGGCCAGGATAAATGCTTTTTACAAGGGGTTCGGGATTCTTTTTTACAATTTGTGATAAAAAAGACATTCACAAGTTTCACACGAAAGCTAGCATTTCGATTTTCCCAAAATTTTTCAATAGAAACTGAAAATATGGACCAACACAGGTCCATGCATTTGAGGTTTAATACCAATAAGTTTTTTCAATGAAAACATTTTTTTTTTTAAATATTGGCAAATTTAAACTTACCCCATAATCAACAATTATTTGCAGGTTTACAAACTTCGTTAGGAAACTGAGAATTATGCATTTACAGAGCCTAAACCCAGAAGTTTTTTATTTATTTCAGAAACAGAAATTTCCAGTTACTTAATGGAAAATAATGTAACATAATTTCGAAAGTAAAAATTGGCAAAAGTGACACCTATGCATTCCCCAAAGAAAAAAGTTAACGAGGAGAGGCTTTCTAAAGTTATCACAAGAAAACCAAAAATCAGGATTCGTCTACAGAAAACTGACCAGCATATATTGGTTATTCCTTAACCCTTTCCCTAGTTTTTATTCACCAGGATTGAAAAATTGAAACTGATCTGATAAGGAGTTCTGAAGATATATATGAAAATCTTAAAGGAACACAATTAAGTATACTTACAAGGTTTGCATTAGCTAATGCATTAGCTAATACATTAGCTAATACACAAGCAAACAGACACACAGACCACAAACTCAGTTATTTTGGAGAATGTATGGAAATTATAAGAGTAAGGCAGATTATAGAATGATTATAGAGTGAGGCAGATTCTGAAATGGATGATGTGATAAAAAACAAACAATTTTCATGCATGCGTGATGCAAAATGGTTGACAATTACAGGTGACTGCAGTTCCTGAATGGCATTCGGAGTATGTTCTTGAATATAGAAGAAATGACTTACCTGAAGCTGAAAGGCTCGATGTGCGAAATCTGGCAGTTTGAGAGGCAGAGGAAGTGGAGGTTATGCAGGTCTTGGAAGTATGGAACCTTAACCTTTCCAAGAGGTACCTACAGAAAGAAATGTCATTTTATTCTTGTTTTATATGGTTTTTCTTGAACGATTCGTGTGGAATGCAATATTCTAGTCGGTTACCTCAGCAGGAGCCAGACGCCTATTCATGAACTAGCCTCTAGACACGAGCCTTGAGGCTATAGCTTGTCTGATGCAATCTTGCTCTCGTCTGTTGCCTGTTTATCTTTAGTTCTTTCATATATTTCTCCTCCATTAGCTACTAGTGTGTCTTCATGTGTCTTGATTTATTTAGGATAAATACACACACCACAAATATACTAGAAACAGCACCGGTTCTGGGACTGACCCTTGTGGAACCCTACTCGTCACAGGCGCCTACTCTGACACCTCATCACTTACCATGACTCGCTGTCGTCTTCCCGACAGGCATTCCCTGAATCATTGCGGTTCCTTCCCTGTTATCCCTGCCTGGTCCTCAGATTTTTGCACTAATCTCTTGTGTGGAACTGTGTCAAACGCCTTCTGACAGTCCAAGAAAATGCACTCTACCCACCCCTCTCTCTCTCTTGTCCTACTGCTGCCACCCTGTGATAGAACTCCACTAGGTTTCTGAAACCGTGCTGGTTATCGTTGATAAGCTCATTCCTTTCTAGGTGCTCCACCACTCTTCTCCTGATAATATTCTTCATGACTTTGCATACTATACATGTAGTTTAATACTTCATATCTGACTCCTTTTGTAAACAATGGGACTACATTTGCTGTCATCCATACCTTAGGTAGTCACCCTATTTCGATAGATCAATTGAAGATTCTTGTTAGTGGTACACATGGCGCCTCTGCTCCCTGTCTCAGGATCCAAGGAGAGATGTTATCCAGCCCCATTGCCTTTGAGGTATCCAGCTCGCTTAGCATCCTCTTCACTTCTTCCTCAGTTGTATGAATTGTCTCTAACACTTGGTGTACCCCACCTCTGTCTTTCTGAAGTGTGTTAGTTACCATTTTGTCCTAGGCACATGTCGATTAGACACTAGGCCTGTTGTATAAGCGTGTGTGTGTGTGTGTGTGTGTGTGTGTATACTCTCCTATATGTGGTTGCAGGGGTCGAGTCATAGGTTCTGGCCCTGCCTCTTAACTGGTCGATACTAATTCACTCTCTCCCTGCTCCAGGAGCTTTATCATACCTCTTTTTAAAGCTGTATATGGAACTTGCTTCCACTACTTCACTCTACAGATTATTCCACTTCCTGACAGCTCTAAGGCTAAAGAAATACTTCCTAACATCCTTATGACTCATCTGGGTTTTCAACTTCCAGTTGTGTCGCCTTGTTCCTGCATCCCATCTCTGAAACATTCCAGCCTTGTCCACCTTGTCAATTCCTCTCAGTATTTTATATCCCTCCTATCCTCTACTGTCATAAGACATACCCCTAAGTTCCGGGACTAATCGTGTTGCAAATTTTTGCACTTTCTTCAGTTTCGTGACGTGTTGGACTAGGTGAGGGTTCCATACTGGTGATGCATAATCCAGTATAGGCCTGACGTACACGGTGTACAATGTTGTGAATGACTCCTTACTCAGATATCTAAATGCTAATCTTAGGTTTGCCAAACCCCCTTATGCTGCAGCAGTTATTTGATTGATGAGTGACTCAGGGGACATGTTTGTTATAATGCTTACCCCAAGATCCTTTTCTTTAAGTGTCGCTTGCTGCCTTTGATTTCCTAACCTGTATATCGTCGCACGCTTGTATTCTCCTCATCAGTTTTGCATCGTCAGCAAACAGCACCGGACTTAGGACTGACCCTTGTGGAACCCCACTCCACACATGCGCCCGCTCTGACAATCACGTACCAACACTTGTTGTTTCCTTCCTGTCAAATATTCCCTTATTCATTGCAGTACTTTCCCTTTTATTCCTGCCTGCTCCTCTAATTTTTGCACCAATCTCTTTGTGGTACTGTGTCAAAAGCCTTCTTGCAGTACAAAAGATGCAATCTATCCATCCCTCCCTCTCGTGTCTTACTTTTGTTACCTTATCGTAGAACTCAAATAGATTTTTGACACAGGGTTTCCCATCTCTGAAGCCGTGCTGATTGTCATGTATGAGCCCAATCTTTTCAATATGTTCCACCACTCTTCTCCTGATAATCTTTTCCATGACATACACACTGGTCTGTAGTTTAACGCTGCCTGTCTGTCTCCTTTCTTGAAAATTGAAACTACATTTGCTGTCTTCCACGCCTCAGGCAACTGCCCAGTTTCGATAGATTTACTGAAGATTGCCGCTAGCGGCACACAGTTCCTCTGCTCCTTCTCTCAGTATCCATGGAGATATATTATCTGGGTCCACTGCCTTTGAGGTATCTAGTTCATCTAACAGTTTCTTCACCTCTACCATAGTTATGTGTATTGTGTCCAGCACCTGCTGGTGCACCCTACCTCCACGGTTTGCTGGTAGCATTCCTGTCTCTTTTGTGAATACTTCTCTAAATTTTGTGTTAAGTTCATCACATACTTCCTGGTCACTCTTCGTCAGCTCCCCACCTTCTTTCCTCAACCTGATTACCTGGTCCTTAATTAACTGTTGTTTTTCTCCTAATGTGACTGTATAACAACTTTGGTTCTTCTGCTCATCTCCTTGTTTTCTTGAGTACTTTGCCTTCTATACCTTTTCCATGCTCTAGCACACTTGGCTTTGGCCTCTTACACTTCCAGTTAAACCATGGGCTCACTCTGGTCTTACCATTTTTTGTTACCCTTTGGTATGAACCTCTCCTCTGCCTCCCTGCACTTAGTGGTCACTAGTTCCATCATTTCATTTACTGTCTTTCCCTCTAGTTCTCTTTCCCACTGCACTTCATGTAGAAAACTTCTCATTCCTATGTAGTCCCCTTTTTTGAAGTTCGGCTTCTTTCGTTGTTCTTGTGTCGCAGCATTCTCGACTGTTAACTCTACAAGGTATTCAAAACTCAGGACATCATGATCACTAGCGGCAATGGGTCTTTCGTGTGTGATATCCCCTATGTCTGAACTATTCAAGGTGAATATGAGATCCAGCCTTGCTGCAATATCCTCTCCTCTCTGGTTGTATCCCTAACATGTTGATGCATGAAGTTCTCCAATACAGTCTCCAACATCTTAGCCCTCCATGTTTCTGGTCCCCCATGTGGCTCTAGGTTTTCCCAGTCAATCTCTTAATGATTGAAACCCCCCCTTATAAGCAATTTTTAATGTGGTGTGTGTGTGTGTGTTTTTTTTAATTCCCCATTTTGTCCTAGGCATATATCGAGTGTGTGTACTCCCCTATTGTACCGCTTTTTTGTGGTTCCGGGTCGATATCAGTTTCGGGCCCCCACCTTTCACTGATGGCTCCAGGTCCCTTTCTCCCTGCTTCATAAACTTTATAACCTCATCAAAAAACGATGTTGGTTTCTGTTCCCAAAATACTTCCATTCCTTCGACAACTTAAGACTGAAAAAATTTCCTAACACCCTTTTGCTATCGGTTTCAATTTCCCAATTGTCCCCCCTTGTTCTGCACCCCATCTCTGGAACATCTGTTTGTCCCCCTTTTCAATTCACCGCGAATTTGTATGTTGTTATCATGTTCCCCAAACCATCCTCCCTTTCCCTGAGTGCTTGCCCGGTGTGACCCAAAATGGTGCGATATTTCAGTTTGGGATGACGATGGGTGTACAGAGTTTCTTTTAAACATTCCTTAGTGAGGTATCGGAACGCTATTTCAGGTTTGTGGGGCCCCCCAATGTGCATTTGTTATCAGGTTGATGTGTGCTCCAGAGACAGCTCGGTATTATACTCCCCCCAAGATCTTTCTCCTTGAGTGAGGTTTGCAGTCTTTGGCCACCTCCCATTACTCTGTCTGCGATCTTCTTTCCCCGTCCCGATCTTCTGCCTTTGCATTTGGCGGGGTTTAAATTTCGAAAAAGCCTTTTGTAGACCAGGTGTCCAGTCGTCCAGGTCTTTTTTGCAGTTCCTGATCCTATCTGATTTAATTCTCTTCTTAAACTTCCATCATTTGCCAATGGGGAAACTTCGATTCGTCCCTTTGTATTTCAAAATTTTGAAAATTAGCATGGCCCAGGATTGACCCCTGTGGGACCCCTCCGTAAGCGCCCTGTGATCCCTCATCAGTACCATGACTCGTTGTTGCTCCTGGGGTATTCCGATCCATTGCGTGCCTTCCCTGTTAACAGGGCCTGATCCTGAGCTTTGCACTAATCTTTTTAAACTTGTCAAGGCTTTTTTGCAGTTAAAAGAAAAATACAACAACCCACCCCCACTCTGTTCATATTCGTTCCTTGCCAAAAACTCCGAGGGTTTTGTGACCAGGTTTGCCCCCTTGAACCTTTGGGTTGTTTTTTATAATTTTTTTCCCGCTCAGGTGCCCCACCACTCCCCCCGGATAATTTGCATGCTTTGATCGATACATCGAGCACGGTCTATAATTTAGTGCCCGTTTCTGTCTCCTTTCTTAAAAATGCAGATTACATTTGCAGTCTTCCATCCCTGGGTAGTTGCCAGTTTCAATGGATGTTTTGAGATTTTTGTTAGTGACACAGACAGATCTTGCTCCCCTTAAGCCAAGGAGAGTCTGGTTACCTTTTTTAGGGCAATTTTAATAGCGCTTCTTCACCTCCCCCTCGGTTGTGTGTTTTTTCACCCAGCATTTGTTGGGTTCCTCCCTATTCTGAATTCCTGGAGCCCTTCCTTCTCCACTGTAAATACTTCTTTAAGTTCTGTTGACCTCATCCATTCCCCTTTCGTCGTTTTTGTGAACTCCCCACCTTCCTTCCTCACCCTGTTCCTGGCCCTTGATTTGTTTTTCCTCCTGATTGGTATACACAGCTTCGGGTCAGACTTGATTTCGTGCTTGTTATTTTCTATTGTGTGTGTGTGTGTGTGTGTGGGGTGTGTGTGTGGTTGTGGGCGTGTGCTGTGCGCCGCGCGCGAGAGAGAGAAATTTTGGAATATATGTTCTTCGGGTTTTATAATTGATCCATTATTTTTTGAG